TGCGTGCATGGATTAAAGTACAATCCTACTAAAAGTCAGTTTATGGTTTTCGAGGCTGGTGGTGCTAGATGCCCAGAGAATGTACCAGCAATACATCTCAATAACGTCCCGCTCGAAAGAGTGTACCATTTCAAATATCTGGGGCATATGGTTACTGCTGACCTCGACGACAGTGCTGACATTGAGCGGGAACGGAGAGCATTGTCAAGAAGGGCAAATATGTTGGCGCGCAAATTTTCACTGAGTTCAGTAGAGGTGAAAATTACACTCTTTCGTGCTTACTGCACTTCTTTGTACACATGTGCTTTGTGGGCCCGCTATTCTCGGAGAGTGTATAACGCGCTTCGCGTGCAATTTAACAATGCTTTTAGGGTGCTTCTGGGGTTACCCCGTTACTGTAGCGCCTCGGGAATGTTTGCCGTAGCACATACAAACTGCTTTTTCACCACCATGCGCAAAAGGTGTGCATCCCTTGTAGGTAGAGTGAGGGCAACCCCAAATAAAGTCCTGGCAATGATAGAGGACAGGTTTGACTGTCCATACATGCGGCATTGTTGTGCACAGCATATATTGTCTAATGGAGGTGTCTAATGTTATTAAATATAATTGTAAGCTATTTTATATTAAAAAATGCGGTCTGATATAAATAAGAAATTTTGTGTACCTATGACATTTTAATATTCATTTTGTGTATGACATTATAATACTTAAAATAATTAAAAATCAAAAGTCAAGTTAATAAACTTGACTTTTGATTTTTAATTATTTTATTTGATTGAAAATTTAAATTATGTAATTTATTGAATTAAATAAATGATAAGTTGTATTTTTAGTGACATGTGCCTATTTCTATAGTAAGTGATTGTGTATTATTTTCTATGATTATGAGTTATTTTATTTTATTTTTTTATTTTTATTTAAAAATCTATCCCAGTGCGTTACTAAACTTAGATGTTAGGTTTTATTACGATTTAATTACCTTAGGATCATATTTTATTGATAAGAAAATTGTGATTGTCTTGAAGTTTCCTATAATGTCTCTAGAACGAAACATATGACCTTTATAGACTCTGTCCTGTTTCTAACAAAAACTCAGAAATTATCCTTCCACCATTCCCATACATGGCATCCAATTCCCAGGAATTTGCGTACATGGAGGCTGAATGCCCGAAGATCAACACCTGGTACATATGCAAGCAGCAGCTTAACCATCAAACCCGAACACGCACTGATGGCGCCTTCAATCTCATTTATCATCAGAATACAGGAGAGTGCCATCCTACATGCATATCACTCCTGAAGGAAGCACTACTAGAACTGGACAGTCAACATTATATTTTATCATTACCTATTAAAATCAAAGTAAAAATATCATGCGTACAAGAAAAATATCATCTGTTAAAAGGAAGCTACTTCACAACGATTCCCAAAAATTGCAGTATTCACACACCAGAATTATACTGATGACAAATTTCGTGGGCAACCTGTTGAAATAATGACATTCCCACATTCGACTCCGATGTCAGCAAATTTGAAGAAAAACTTACCGCATTATAATCTCACAACAATTGATTTGAACAAATTACACAATATTATTTAATATTAATTACCCATGGACCCACCTGTTAGAATTAACACCGTGGATTTATCCAGCTTATATCACACCACGATACCTACATACGTCATCATACTGTTAAGTCCACTTGCACTCATTAGTGTGGTTTACTACCTGAGACGGCGTACGAACCAACAGCGAGTTAAATCTACACAGCCTCAAGGGATGGAAATGGCATCAGCGGCTTCTACACCATCCATCGAAGAAAGAAAAGCCGCAACATTTGCTCTCAATCTTCGCAAATAGTTGCTCATCTAGGAGGGAAGGTGTTACGAGTACAACACTTTTCTACGTCACTCATACGTCACGCGTACATTATGTGTTTCCATATGGGCCTACCACACGCACGAGCTTCACCACGGTTTTGACTGCGCAGGCCGGTTTGTACACGGAACACGGTGCGTGTAGTTGGTAATGCGCTTACCACACGCACAAGCTTCACCACAGTTTGGCCTGCGCAAGCATCTCGCATGAAAAAACTGTACACTTTGTGCGTTACCACAGGGCACAGGTAAGTACGCGCAAGCCTCATTCTTATCGAAATCATTGGCGTGGAAACAATGTTTTCTAATGAAGAAACATTTCTTATGCTACTATTTTTCAAGTGTTTGTTATTTAAAAAAATATGTAAAACGATAGGATATGTACCTAATATGTGCAAGTAGGTAGGTAGTAGGTATTAGGCATAGGTATTTAGTTGCAAAAATTATGTTCTTATCTCTTTCATTTTATTAATCATTCTTTCGTAGGCGTCGTTCTTTTTATTTCGGTCGGAATAATCTTTAGATTTAATTTTCCAGAGTGCAGGCAGAGATTTGTATAAACTAATTAATTCAGACGTGAATTCGCGATTGTACGTACGCAAATCTGCCATTTTTGAGTGACGATGACGAACGACCTCATGAAACGACGAGCGAGCCTCGACTCGAAATACACTCGACTGTGGCTTGAACACTGAACGCCCAACCACACGCACAGACAAGTACGCGCAGGCCGGGCTTGCGCAGGCAAAATTTCAAGCAAGTCGAAAAGTGCGCAGGCCGCGCTGTGGGATTTGGCGCGTGATACAGTTTTACCAACTACACGCACCGTGTTCCGTGTACAAACCGGCCTGCGCAGGCAAAACTGTGGTGAAGCTCGTGCGTGTGGTTGGTAAAACTGTATCACGCGCCAACCCCACAGCGCGGCCTGCGCACTTTTCGACTTGCTTGAAATTTTGCCTGCGCAAGCCTGGCCTGCGCGTACTTGTCTGTGCGTGTGGTTGGGCGTTCAGTGTTCAAGCCACTGTCTAGTGTACTTTGTGTCGAGGCTCGCTCGTCGTTTCATGAGGTCGTTCGTCATCGTCACTCAAAAATGGCAGATTTGCGTACGTACAATCGCGAATTCACGTCTGAATTAATTAGTTTATACAAATCTCTGCCTGCACTTTGGAAAATTAAATCTAAAGATTATTCCGACCGAAATAAAAAGAACGACGCCTACGAAAGAATGATAAATAAAATGAAAGAGGTAAGAACATAATTTTTGCAACTAAAAACCTATGCCTAATACCTACTACCTACCTACTTGCACATATTATGTACATACCTATCTACCAGTACCTATCGTTTTTACATGTTTTTGACAATTTTTTTGGTCGCTTTAATTTTGACTTTTGCGTTGTCTTTTTTTTTAATAGCAAACACTTGAAATATAGTAGCATAAGAAATGTTTCTTCATTAGGAAATATTGTTTCCACGCCCATGATTTCGATAAGAATGAGGCTTGCGCGTACTTAACTGTGCCGTGTGGTAACGCAGAAAGTGTACAGTTTTTTCGTGCGAGATGCTTGCGCAGGCCAAACTGTGGTGAAGCTTGTGCGTGTGGTAAGCGCAATAGTGCAGGTGGCTCGATTGAGCAATCGTGTTGAAAAGTGCTTATTAGACGGATTTAGTTCATGTAAAACCTTCGGACAGTTTTGGGAGTCGCTTGAGCTTCATAGTTTGTAAGACCGGATCATAGGGATCAATTAATATAAGTAATTTTGTAAAACATTTAAATAAAGAAAGTTATAATTAAAAGTTTAGTTTTTAAAAACCCTACTTGACGGCTCAATTCCTTAATTAAATCCTCTGCTGTAAATACAATATTTTGACCTATTTATTGATATTGTTAGTGTGTCATCCATATTCTTATGTTTAACAAATATTACAAAATCATCCGCGTATTGAGATATATTGACATTTTTAATCATTTTACAAACTTGGCTGGTTACCAGGTTAAAAAGAAGAGGAGATAATGGGTCCCCCTGAACTAAATCATTATTTGTCCATCTTACTATGTCACTTTCTTTCTCAGTTTCGCCAATTATTTTTAGGTGTCTTTCATTTAAAAATTCCCACAAGTAATTACATATTTTGTATCCGACATTAAATTTATCTAAATTTAAAAATACCTTATTGATCAGGACATTATTGTATGCGCTATCTATGTCAATGTATGTAATGTATATTTTCAGTAAAACCAATTTGTATTGTTGTCACTAATCTAGCCAAAGAATCTAAACATGATTGAGATTTTCTAAATCCTACAGTTTTGCATCTAAAATTTTATTATTTTCAGTGTACCATCCCAGTTTTTTTGTAATCATGGCATGTAATATTTTACATGGGCATGATGTCAGTGAAATAGGTCGTAGTTTGATATTCTCATTGAGATTTGTCTTAGGTTTTGGAATCGGAACTACTTTAATATCTCTCCATTGGTGTGGAACATGACCTAGATGTAATATAAGATTGTTTATTTTAAGTAAGTACGATTTAACTGTATCCGGTAGATTATAAATTAATGAATAAGTTATTCCATCATTAACTGGAGCTGTATCCTACTTGTTTAGACAATGTGTTAACTCTTTTATCGAAAATTCTGATTCAAGAGAAGGATTACAAGATCTAAAGGTAGGTTTCGGTAATTGAACTGAATCTGGCGCCAAGTCACATAGCAGTTGTTGAACTGTTTTCTATGCGAGGATATAATTTTCTTTGAAATTTACCTTTTATCCACTTCATTTTGCGCCACATTTCCGAAATTATCGTGGTTTGGTCAATACTTGTACAAAAAATTTTTCAGCTTGTATATTTAGCCCGTTTTATTTCACGTTTTGTATTTGCTGTTCTATTCTGTAAATTAATCAAGTTTAAGGGAGTTGGGTTTTTTCTGAATTGACTTAAGGCCAATCTCCTTTCTGCTACTAATTTAGAGAGATTTAGATTACAATACACTTTGGGCTTTATTTTGGGGTCCATCTTTGCAGCAGCTTTGTTAACAATTTCAACGAGGACATCATACATTTCTTGGATGTTATCAGAAACATTATTATCTAAGTTTTTAAAACAATTTTCAACAAACTCGCGATAGCATGACCAATCTACGTTTTAAAGTTTCTTTTATTGGTGAAATGAGGATTATCTTCATAATTTATTTTTAATTTAATAATAAGATGATCACTACCTAGGCTTTCGTTAGTAATATGCCAATTAAAGTTAGTTGCAATATCTGTAGATACGAAAGTGACGTCGTGTGAAGTTTCTTGCAAATTCCGATTCACTAATTTAACTCTGGTAGCCCAGAAAAATTAACCATCATTAATTGGAAGATAACCATTTTCCAAATCCATTAGTTGAATGCCTCGAGTGCCGTTTTTATCTTCAAAGGACCAATTCAAATGGTGTGCATGAAAATCACCGGCAATGATAGTTTTGCATGAAAACACGGAAAATATTTCATCCCAATCGTTTTGTGTTGTTCGTACAGACGACGGACAATATATAGATAAAATGTTATTTATTGTATTTACAATTAAGCAACTTTATAGCTTTTATTTCTATTCCGATGTTCCTTATATTAATAGGAAATAGTTGAGCTTTTAATGTATTATGAACTAAAATAGCTACTCTACCATATGAATCACTTCTGTCCTTTCTGAAAACTATTCTTTCACCTTAAAGGAGCTTCCTGGCTTCAGCCATGTTTCGCTAAGAACTACTAAATCAATATTGTCTTGTGTTAAAATTGTTTCTAATTCTTCCAGTTTTGGGCTAATACTTTGAGGATTCCACTGATATTAATACATATAAATATTAATAACTTTTTTTGTTAAGTACACTATCCATTTATGATGTTAAAAAATATTTTATGTCTGTCATTCTCTTGCAGGTTCTGTATAATTTCGTATCTTTTCTTTTCATTTGTTCTTTTTTTGAGTTATTTTTTTTATTCTTTTTCTTCTTTTGATTTCTCATCGTCATAGCTGTTGTCTGATTGATTGTTATCTACGTTACTGTTTTCTGTAATAATTGGTCTATTTATGTTCTTTTCTAATATTTCTTTATATGTTAATTTTGTTGATGTTTCTATTTTTCTTTGGTTGTCTTTTATTATTATTTTGGGTTCTTTTTTATTTTCTGTAATACTCATCACTTTATATTTTATAATGGCCTTTCTATATCGACAGTTTTCTTTACTCATTATACGACGAATTTCTTTTTCTTTTATAAAAATTCGACATTGTTTGTCAAGAGAAATATTACCTTTGCAGTTGAGGCATTTGTATTCTGTAGTTTCACAATTTTCGTGTTCAAACCCGCATTTTGGACATATTTTTTTCTTTATTGGGCAGTATTTAATCAATGACCATATTTCCAACAGCCTGAGCACTGTGTGACAGGGAATGTATCTCTAATATAATATGGCTCAACTTTAAACCTTGTACCGTATCCGTTTACATACGGTGGTAAAGTGGGGCTTTTAAAGCATATTCGCACCGTTTCGCTATCTACCCAGGTGCCATCATTACTTAATCGACGTAGTCTTATAATAGATATAATTTCCCTATCGCATTTTAACTCTTCAAATAGCTCTTCTACATCCTTCTCCAAGTCCATTTGTCTGAATATGCCGTAACACATGTTTAATTCATTATTTACATGACTTCTCAGCCCCAATGAGTTATTTTTCACACTTTAATAGTTTTTCGGCATTTTCTTTAGTATCAAATTGTATTAGAACTTTATGCCCATTTTTATATTTAATTCTTATAATATTGGTAATTTTATTGGTTTTTAATAGCTTTGCCACAGCAATATGTTTTGGTAATAGGCGTTCCTTTGAAGTTATACATACTTCATACAAATTTTCTGTCAAATTTGATCCCATCTCTAATTGTGACTGGGTGTTGTGGGGCGGAGAGTTACGAAGTAGACGTTTTTTTCGTCTCTGGACCGTGGTAAATCCCTCTTCATCCGTAAATTCTTCACTGTCGTTTCTCATTCTTTTTTCTCGTAAATAACGGCCAACACTCGAATTGTTCGGTAAATTTTGTCAGTAAAACTGGTTGAGCGCAATCCATCTCACCTTCATATTCACTTAATAACGCAAGGTGTCCACTTCTCACTCATTATTTAATAACAAGTGAGACCGTAAGCAGATATTTGTCACGTGGATCGGTTGGTTGGCGCACGTGTCTGGCGTCACTGACATATTACATAAACACTAGGATATACACGTATCAGCTCTAGAGCTGTTAGTGAATCAATATACATATTATATAATCGATGCAGCCATCTCACTTTTTAGTCTTTTTCACTTTAAAAGGTACTAAAAGGCCTCTTCAAGTTGGCTTTGGCCCCATGAACGCCTCAAAGGACCGAGTCCCCATGGAGCTGTGACTGAAAGACGTACTGACACTAAAAATATTAATATTAGATTAATAATTAGTACTTAAAAGATTAGAGGCGCGTGAATCGGTAAGTAAGAGGCAGTTCTTTCCTTTTACATAACATTATAAATAAAACTAGATTAGTTTGTGACATCATCAGCGTGCACTTTTTAATAATTTATCGGGTCAATTGAAAGTACCTATGTTGTATTTAAGTCCATATAAAATCTATTTGTGTGCCACATTTCAGTTTTTTTTAATACACACCAATTAGCCTAGCCTCAAAGTAAGCACTGTAAGTCTTGTGCTATGGGATACTAGGGTAACGGATATACTTAACATATATAAGTATATTTATATAGAAATACGTATTAAACATCCATGACTGGAGTACAAATGCTCGTATTCATCACACAATAAAGTTATTATTATTATTGCAAACATTCGAACCCGGGATCTCTCGAGTCGGCGACAGCCTTGAAACCAGGCGTACAAACCACTCGGCCACGGAGGTCGTCTTTCAACGTGGTTGAGTACCAAACATATTAGTAATATTTCTATGAAGTATACGATAAATCAAATGATATTGATATATAAGAAGCATTAGAACAAATAAAGTTTGTCTGTTTCTTAGGGTGACGCCAAACAAGCGTAATTTTGTGAGTTGTTAGTCGCTTATTTTCGGTCACTACTGAATTTCTGTTGAGCTGCCATACGAACGTAATTTATTCAGTTACTATTGAGCGTTAGTACGGGGTGTTCGTGTCGTCGAGTGCAATGGATCCATTAAAAATATTGTGTATTTACGAAACATATTCAGAAGATGAGGCCAGAAAAAGAAACTGGGTAAACCCACTGAATAGTCAGAGGCTGATATGTGGACAACTGTCCACGTAACGTTCATACTTTATATGAACGTTTATGTGCAAATCCAGATATGTTTGAAAAGTACTATCATATGCCATTACGTGTTTTTCAAGAATTATTACACCACGCAACTTGTAACAGACTGTTGCTTCCCCACTCCCCTTCCTTGCCCTACCCTCACCCCGACCGAAATTCGGACGAGCTTATGCTCATTGAGTCGGCAGACAACTCATTTTGCGTTGTCGTGTGGCACCAACTGCCTTTTTGTATGAAACCGAATGCAGCAGAATTTCTGCGACTCACCACTCACAAAATTACGCTCGTTTGGCCTCACCCTTACAATTGAGCAAAAGGAGACCATTATCTCGAAACGGATAGCTACTGATAGTGAGGAAATCTCTCATTTCAGGCCTTGTTGATTGGAAAATACTTCAGTTGTTACTAAATAAACACAGAGAATCTGTACGGTGAATGCTTTTTTTAGAGCAGTACAGTGAAAGAGAAACAGTTAATTCATGAGAATAATATTGAGAAAAAAATGACAATTTAGCTTGCGAAATATACCTACGTAAGTGCCTACTTATTCTAGCAATCTAAATTAGGTATAAACTTTTATGAATGAATTTCCGACATTTACCTACTTGGAATTTCAATTATACATAATAATAAACTTACATCATGGGAGTTATTATCTGTGCTTAATACATAATATATATGCTTGTACTTACTACGTCGCTACGGTTCAATTTAGCGGAGTTTATATGAAGATCTTTGCAATAGAGTTATTATGATTTTCAGTGAATGTTTCATTCTCAGAAAGGCACAATTACAATAATTGAAAATTTTCCCTCACATATTTCCAGGTACACCTACTGTGACCTTTTGTAAATATTTTCTCATAAGAAACAGTGCGTACATATGTATGGTTTCTAGCTGCAGCTTAGAATCCTAACGGTTTCTCGGTGCAGTCCGAGGTCTCACGTTGCAATAAAGGTTGAAGATTATTTGACTGGTCGGCTCTTTCGGTTTGACCACGGCATGTAATCTTCATAGTTAAACATTAGACCAATTTTGTGGCCATAGACAAGGAACGGTATTTTAGAATCTGACGTTTCCCTCCCTCCGCATCTGCAAATGGTGATCAACTTGGTGGCCAATGGTAGTGCTCCGCCATCATGATTTATTTTATTTTATTTTATTGATTTAGGTAACAAACGGTCTCTAACAGTAATATTTGCTTAAATTAAATAATGTATGACTAGACCTATAGTATCATAACTTAAATTAATATTATGTTCAAACAAATTGAGTCTATGAGAAACTTCTTAGTTACTGTTTACAAAATGTTTCAAAATCTTTACAATCTACTAGTACAACATCTCGCGAACCAGTTTTCTGTAATTATTATAAGTACTTGAAAAAATGTCAATATTGGTCAGGTTTTTGTTATAAAAATCAAGTGATCGACTGAAATAAGAGTTTATTGTGTAATTTGTGCGATATGGCGGGACATAAAATGTACTCTTAGACCGTGAGGAGGGACGAGGAACCCTAAGGTGGATTTTATCTAACAAATTAGTGCAATCAATTCGGCAATTAACAATTTTATATAATACCATAGTGTCCAAAAAAGTACGTCTAATTTGTAATGGGGTTATGTTATATTTTGAGGCACAAGTCCTGTAATCGTTTAAAATATGTTCATCACGATAGCTTAATAATTTTAAAAACTTATTTTGTACTTTTTCGATGCGATCAACGTGAACAGCATACTGTGGGCTCCAAACCACACTACCAAACTCTAAAATACTGCGTACGTAAGTGTTAAATAAAGTTATTAAAGTTTTTGTATTTTTGAACGGTTTCCCTAAACGATTTATTAAACCAAGTTGTTTAAAAGCACGTGATACTATATTATCAATATGAGTATTGAAGTGAAGTTTGGAGTCCAGAGTTACACCGAGGTCACGTATGAAGGATACTCTTTTTATAGTGCTTCCGAAGAAGTTGTAGTCACAAATAATCGGATGATGCTTACGGGTAAATGTAATAGTATAGCATTTATCAGTGTTTAAGAAAAGCTGATTTCTTGAACAGTAATCTTGAAATCTACTAAGATCATTTTGCAGCTCACAACAGTCATTAAGAGAGGTAATTACTTTAAAAATTTTAGTGTCATCAGCATAGAGCAGATGGTGTGAATTTACAAAACAATCTTTAACGTCATTTACGTACAGAGTAAAAAGATAAGGTCCCAAATGCGACCCTTGAGGAATGCCTGATGGTATATTAAGAAATCCAGACTGATATCCCGTAAAGCTACTGCCTGACTCCGATTTGAGATATACGATTTCACCCACCGCCAGAGGTCGCCGCGTATACCGATTGCATATATTTTTTCTAATAACAAATCATGATTTATTTTATCAAAAGCCTTTGAAAAATCGGTATACACGGCGTCCACCTGATTTTTGTTGATAAGACGAAGTCGTTGTCGAAGTTATGTTACTCCGTGCATATCCTCTCACATTTTAAAACTGTAATAATCAAGTGTTTTTCATAATGAAAAATACTTGCTGTCTTACGAACCGTCGAAGCAGACGAGGTGGTGGTAAACTGCATAGGTTTCCAACAAAACTGTACAGTATATAAATAAACAGTGAAAGATTAAGAAAACTTAGCGGACTTTTTCCGCAACTCGACACCCAGTGCCTATTTTGCGTGGGGATTGACATCAGTCCTGCCACCCCAGCTTCTGCAGAAAGCTCAGCAATCCCCGGATGTTGCTGCAGGCCTCTATTAGTGTCCGCGGACGTCCCATTAGAGAAGTCCTTTGTCTTGCAACGCCTCTGCACTCCAGCAGAACATGGGCGCTCGTGTCCTCCTCCTCCAGGCAGGCTCTGAGCAGGGGGCTGTCAGAAATACCTATATTACAAAGGTATTTGTTGAAGTAGCCGTGAGCCGTGAGTATACCCACGATTTGTTTTAGGGATTATCTAGGTAGACTGATTAACTTACGTGATAGATGCAGGTTTACTTTAGCAACGGTTTCCCTAGCTTGCCTGCAATCTGTGAGTTTTGCCCTGTACTCGTCGTGTTGCCGTTGACAGCGCTCCCTTATCTAGATTCTCAGCCGTTGATAGGGTATAGGTACAATTGGCTCCAAGCCCAATGGTCGTCCTGCTGGACCTTTCCCTAGCTAAGCAGTCCGCCGCATCGTTAGCCCTTGAGCCGCTGTGCCCATTTTTATGGGGATGATTTTTTCCGACTATTTTCTTCATCTATCAGGTAGATTATCAAAAAGTATTGAACACAAGAATTATTTTATTCTTTTTTCACACAGTCAAAACATAACAGATATAATATAGATCTGAAATGTTGCGTGACATCAGGCGTCTTGGTGCAAATTTTACTTAGCAGTGACATCACGAGTCTTGACTCCCAAACTTTGAAGCGTTATATCTTTGTCATATTTTGGTTGACTAATAATAGAAAGAGTAAGTGTCCATTATTTTTTGGTAATCTAACTGACAGATTTAATAGAATTTCGATTATTATACCCCTTCATCATCCCTTTAGAAATCTATTAAGATTTCAATTATTCTGTCAATGACAATGAGAACAAATAAAAGGCTTTTCATCTCATTTATTTATTTTAACACATTATCTGTTTGCAAATAAGTTGCGAAGCTTTTTGTACACGTGTTTGAACTTTAGAGCAATCAAGAATTTAATCAGCCAGCTCACTGACGATAAGAAACTCGTTGTTTCTTCTTCTTTACCCCAATAGCATAAGTAATTATGTATATAAGGGCGAAGAAAACTAATTTCAAGTCACATGAATTGAAATTACTAAAAGGAGTCTCA